ATAGATGAATGAGAGAACAAAATGCTAACAGGTTTACAACGTCCCCAGCAAATATACTGTATACAAATCAGAAAAGACCTGAAACCAGGGGAAAAGAAAGGGAAAGAAAGAAAAAAGAAAGAGGAAAAAAAAAAGGAAAAAAAAAGGATAAAAACAAAAACAGAACAATACAAAAAAAGCAGAATGTGATCAAATATGATCAGGCTAGTGCATAGATCAGTGCCACACACTAGATTTTGGGCGTATTTTGGTCTGTTAGAAAAAAGTGCCTCCTAAAATTTTAAAGGAAGAAAGACATATATGTACAAAATAAGGGTTTATACAATGAAGGGATGGAAGATGACTGTAAAGATGAAAATTATAAAAGATTTTATAAAAGGACTTGGTAAGATAAGTTGTTTGAAAAAAGAAAGAAGATTTAAGAAAAAAAAAGAAAAAGGGGGAGAATGTGATCAGGCAGGAGACTAGAACAAAGCCATACACTAGTGATTTAGGGTATATTTTGATCTGTTAGAAGAAACTGTACCCCAAAATTTTAAAGAGAGAACAACTTATATATATGCCAAAAATAAGGGTAACTACTATGAAGGGATAAAATATGACTCTAAAAATGAAAAATGAAAAAAAAATTTTTTTTAAAAAGGGATAGATAAGATGTTGGTTGAAAAAGGGAAAAAGAAAAATAAAAAAAAACAGTCAACAAAAATTAACTTTGATGAAATAATGGATCATGGTAAAAAAAAAAAAAAAAAAAGCCATGAATCTATGTGCAGTATTCCCCTAGCGCTGGAGTTCTCCCATTCTCCTTGATCGATCAACTTGGTCTTGGCTTGCTGGCTGTTTGTGCTGATCTTCTGGGGGAGGGGCCTGTTGCTGTGGTTTCCAAATGTCTTTGCGGGAGGCGGAATTGCCCCGCCCTTGTCGGTCCGGGCTAAGGAAGCTGCTCCGGTTTGCTCTCAGGAGCTTTTGTTCCCTGCAAGCTCTCAGTACAGCTTTGGAGGACCAGGGCAGAAATCGTGGCCTCCCAATCTCCGCCCGGAGGAGCTGAGAACTCGGGGCCCCGCTCCTCAGTGTGTCCCCAGAGAAAAGCAGTCACTCCCGTGTCCCCGGTCTCCGGCCGCACTCCGTGCTCACCCGGCCTGTGATCGAGCGTTGCTATCTCTGGCACCCGACCCCGCACGGAGTCTCCAAACCCAGCAGATCCCTGCAGTGCGTTCCCGCACCGCTCCTCCCCGGGAAGGAAGGGGAGTCTCCCCGGATCTGCTGCTTGTTGGGTCCCTGCTGGGGGAGCCGTGCCCCGACTGGGCCGCAGATCACAGTTTATGGCAACCCCGAGCTGAGAGCCCGCGACTCTGCTCCGTCTCTGCAGCCGGCTTCCCCGCTCGGATACCTGGGAGCTCTGGCGCACTCAGGCACCCCCGGTCTCTCCGTGACCCCAAGGGTCCTGAGACCACACTGTCCCGGGAGGATTCCACCCCCCGCTTAGCCACTGCAGCGACGTCCCTCCGCCAAGGCAACTTCTAAAAGGTCCGATTTTGTGCTCCGCGGCTCTATCACTTGCCAGAAGCGGCCGGCGGAGGCCCCTCCCCTTCCGTCTATCCTCACGAATATCGCCTCGGATTCACTTCTCCGCACGCCCTACCTTCCAGTAAGTGGTCGCTTCTCTGTTCAGAGAGTTGTTGCTACTCTCCTGTTCAATCTCCTGTTGAGTTCGTAGGTGTTCAGAATGGTTTGATCCCTATTCAGCTGAGTTCCTGAGACCAGACAAAATCTAGGTCTCCTACTCCTCCGCCATCTTGCTCCGCCCCAATATTTGAACTTTTTAAAAATTCGGATCAGAATAACCTGTTATTGAAAGAGACAACAGTTTCATATAGTAAAAAGATCTTCTATTAGACTATTTCTAATTGACAGAAAATGAAAAATAATTCATTTTACTTAAAGTAGCTGCTATATGTTAAAAAAAGAAAAACTATGTAAAAAAAAAAAACTGGGAAGGAACATAAATTCACAGTTCAAAGAAAAATATAAAGGTATACAGTACCTTACAACCCTCTCAGGGTTGTAAGATCCAGCTCCACATCGGGCTCCATGCTGGGTGTGGAATCTGCTTGAGAGTCTCTCTCTTTCCCTCTCCAACTGCCCCTCCCCCCCCTTAAAATTTTTTTTAAAAATTAGACATTAAGCAAAACCCTGTTGTTATGAACTTTACATCATAGTAGGAAATAAAATTAATAACAGCTAGCAGTTTTGTAACCTTATTCTGTACTTTATGTGTTTTGTATAATTTAAGGCTCAGGATAACTCTCTGGTAAACACTGTCATCCCCCTGGTTTAATGCACGAGGAATTAGCTAAAGACCAGAAGCATTAAACTTTACCAAGCCCATACAACAAGTGAGTTTAAGCCAGAATTTGAAGCCCCATTGGCTCCATGGGTCATGCTCTTAATCATTCAGCTCTACAACCATAAGATTGCTGTGTGACCTTGGACAAGCTACCTAACTCCCCAAGCCTATATATATATTTATATTATAGATGTATACCTATATTATCTGTGAAACAGTGCTTATAGTTCCTGGTACTGTGGTAAGCCCTCCATGGATTATTCGTTGTGGCATTTGTTACTGCGTCTTAGTAGTAGTAATAGAAGTAATAATAATTCTCTCATAAAATACTGTAAATCCCATAATGATAAAGAAATTGCCTACCAGTTGTGTTTAAGTGTCCTGTCCCTATTGGACTGCTCTGTGTGTCCTGACAGAGCTCCATGCATTTAGAGCTGGAGGACTCAGAAGGCTGTCTTTAGCATTTTATTCTGTCCTGAATTTTTCCCCTATATTTTTCAGGTCTTCACTGGATATTTTTACCCAGATGACTCATTTACATTGCAGATTCTGTATTTTCTACATCTAACTCTTTTTTTTTTTTTAAACCAAGCCAGCTCCCTTCCTGTTTTTCTCACCTGGGTTAAAGCTATGTTCATCATCTACTGAATCCTAATGCAGTTGCTTTTTGTTTCCTTGCTACCAGTCCCTCCCTTCCTAATCCATCTTTAGCAATGCCTTCAGAATTATTTTTGTAACATACAAATCTGATGATACCACTTTACTTCTTAAAAAGTTTGGTGACTAATTTCCTGTATTCAAGACCCTCCACACTCTATACAGTGTGATTTCCTACTGCATACTTACCTCTGCTTTGCCCTCATTGATTTCTTTCTCCCTCCCAAACGTACCCTGTACTTGCATGTGCCTTGTCTTATGCTTGGAATGGGCCCGGTCTTGCTCCCTGTCCTTCTACAGCGTCTTCCTGTATCAGTGCCCTCCTCATTTTTAAGCTGTGCTGTAGCATCCTTCCTGCTCCCGAAGATCTGATGGTTTACCTCTTACTTTTGTGGCACTTGATATGTTTCAGTTGGTAGGACAAGGACTTCTCCTTGCCTTCTTAGTAAACTCTTTGAAGGCTGAGAATATTTTACAGGACAGAGAAAACTAGAGATGCTGAATGTTTATAAACCTTAGCTGTTCTAATTGTCCTTTGTTGCTTTTTGTCACCTTTTTCCTCTGACTTTTTAAAAAAATATCAGTCCTTGCTATAAATCTCCATTTTGAAAAAAAAAATTTGTTAATGTTGCTTGTAGGTGGAAGAGCTGAGAGATACCCCCCCCCACCAACCACCTTAGAACCACTGACATAATGTATTTTGTGTTTCCGTATGTATACACGCTGAGTGACTTCTGGTGAATTAGTAGATCCATTTTTTCCGATGAAAGAAAAGGCATTCATTTTACTGGGGATTTTCTCACTTTTGTTGTAGAAGTAGATCAAGTAATAATATACATTAAGTGAGGAGAACAGTATCTTCAAACATTTGGTTGTCATTACTCAAGATTCTAAGTAGATTTCTGGCCTTTTTATAACTTAGAAGCTTAGAGTTTATTAATTTAAATATTAATAGAGCATCTGCTACAAACCAGGGAATACAGTTGCCCAAAAGATGCTTTCAGCCTCAAACCACGTGAATGACCTTGTTTGACATGGGAAGCTAAAGTTCCAGGAGAGCTGGCCTCCAGCCCCTGAAGCTGCCTCTCCCTCTGTCCTGTGAGGAAAATGCTTGCACTGACTTGAATTAGCTGCAGCAGAGCCTCATTCATTTTCACCTTTAAAATTAGTTATAATTTGACCATGGCCTTTTCATCTCCTGTTTGCCCTTTCTTCTGCCCTGTGCTCCAGCCAAGCAAAATATGAAGATAACTGGATTTGATTTTTTTTTTTCCCTGTGGCAGTACTGTAATACGAACCATTGCCCCTTTTAAGTCCTCTATTGAGGTTGCACATGCTGTGGTTTTTGTAGATTAACAGCTTCTTAGTGGTTCAGACACTTTGAAATTTCCGCTTTTTCTGGAAATCTTTTTCTAGTTAACTTGGGGTGGTTGGTTGGCCAATGATAGCACTGATTTCCTCTTTCGTAGGACTGCCATGATCCATGGCAGGCAGGACCTCTCTTCCTGCTGTGAAAGCTGAAAGGGACAGAAATTTCCTTTGCAGCTAGAACGTGACCAGTCAGTTATTCCTGCCCATGATCTTGACTCTGGTTTGTTTAAAGGTTTTGCGTGATTGTAGCCACCTTGGCATTGGTGATGCCAGCACAGCAAGGTGATAGTAGTACCAGCATCAGGAGCACTGTCCCAAGCTGACTCCTTTGAGCAGAATCTTGCCTTTACGTTGGTTCACACTGAAGCCTGCCTTTCCAGCCCTCAACTCTGAAAGTCATCTGATAGCCTGAAAGATTCCTTTTCTGCCTAAGTTAATAAAAGTCAGTTTTGATCATTTATAAGCAACTAGTACAGACTATTTTTTAACTCAAGTGGATTTAAAATGATTTACTTACTGTGATTCAATACATTGTTCTTAAACCAGAAGCATACTTGAAGGAATTTTCCTTGAACCTTGTTCCATCTCCTTTCCCTTACCTCCTTTTTCTTCTCTGTTCTTACAGGGCCCACTTCCTAATACAGGTTGCCATTTCTGGCTCATGGTTTGGCAGCAAAAAACCAAAGCAGTTGTCATGCTAAACCGAGTTGTGGAGAAGGAATCGGTGAGTAATACTTAATATTTACAACTTAGTGTCCTGCCTGTACCATTAGCTTATAAATGTTTTCATACTTCTTTTGGGATATTCATTCATTTACTGGTTTTGGCCTTGAATTGCTAAAGGCTAGCGGTCAGGGTATTTCTGACCAGAAGTAGTACATCCTTTTCCTTTCTTGCCTTAAGTATTTAAGTAATAGTTGTACACCACTACCTTCCAAGATGTAAATATAATGAAACAAATATTGACCAGTGGTGACATAGATCTTTGGAATCCCTAGGCTTTATTAGAATTTTTATAATTTATTATTATCAAAATCTTGAAAAGTTTAGAAAGGATTAAAGTGACAGGTTTTTGTTAACCTATATGAATTTTTATTGGCTCTTAGGTCATGAGACAGTAAGTTTGGGAATGTATAAATATATTAAACTTGAGGTACAGTCTAAACACAGTGCTAATTAGTTAAGTCTTGTAACTTTTGTAGCTTTAGATTCCTTTTCTGTCAAAGAAGCAAATTGGAAAGTATTGTCAGTAAGGTCTCTTCCAGCCTAAGATCTTCTTCAGATTCCTGATTCTTACTTTTTTCTAAATTCATATTTGGTGGCTTTTGATGGTGCTGCAAATTATTCTACTCTCTTTTTAATCCTGAGTGACATTCACATACCAGAATGTCCAGCAATATTGGCATAGTTATTTACATGGCTTCTTCATGGCTTCCAGTGTGACTTAAAAATTCAGTGATGATGACATTGTTTGAACAATTTGAGCAGCATTGCAAAGTAGATGATTTATAAGTTTCGTCTCTCTTCTTGGAGCATAATTAGTATATTAATAAGCTAAGACTGCCACTAGAAATTAGAAATCATATTTATGGTGGTTGGACCTAGATGCTTAAAAAGATTCAGGTTTAATTATTTTGGGGAAGATTACTTCATGAGTGATACTGTTTTGTTTATGAAGAAGCCCATAATGTCTGATTATCTTTCTTTTTGCGGTGTTAGCAGCCATTGCTGGTCAGTGCTTACTTCCTTAATTAGTTACAGGTTACAAAAAATAGTGATGTTCCAATTTTACCATTCCTTCTTAAATTTTTGTTGGAATACCTCTATAAAAAGAAACTTTCGGAGTGCCTGACTCTTGGTTTAGGCTTATGTCGTGATCTCAGGGTCGTGAGATCAAGCCCCACTTTGGGCTCCGCACTCAGCATGGAGTCTGCTTAAGTTTCTGCTTAAGTTTCCCTCTGCCTCCCCTCCCCTCTTTCTCTAATAAGTAAATCTTTAAAAAAGAAAAGAAAAACTTCCCTTCTAGTTAGTTGACCACTTTTATATAGGAAAAGGAGTTTACAAAATAGTTAATTCCCTAGTGTCTTCAACCGGTGACCAGTTAGGTTTTTTTGGTGTGGGGGCAGGGGCAGGAGGCGATCAATTATTATGAACTCATAGATTTTTTTTTTAAAGATTTTATTTATTTATTTGACAGAGAGCAAGAGAGGGAACATAAGCAGGGGGAGTGGGAGACGGGGAGAAGGCTTCCCACTGAGCAGGGAGCCTGATGCGGGGCTCAATCCCAGGACCCTGGGATCATGACCTGAGCTGAAGGCAGACGCTTAACGACTGAGCCACCCAGACTCCCCTGAATTCATAGATTTAAACATCTTTGATGTACTTCACTCCATTGCAGTTATTATCCGTCTTAGTAGTTGAATTATTCCTCTGTTGGCTAGCAGGAATCTCTTCAAGTTGGGCTCTGAGTCAGAAATCTAAGAGATAAAACCAAAGAGTCTTTAATAATTTTCTTACTATCTGGAATGACTGCTTAACCTCTTCATAGAATCAGTCATTTCTCTAAGGAACCTTGGTTTCTTTTATTGGGCAGTGATATTTCAACATGACAATAAAAATAGGGATGTTGGGACGCCTGAGTGGCTCAGTTGGTTAAGCGTCTGCCTTCGGCTCAGGTCATGATCTCAGGGTCCTGGGATTGAGTCTTGCGTTGGGCTCCTTCCTCAGTGGGGAGCCTGCTTCTCCCTCTGCCTGCCGCTCCCCCTGCTTGTGCGTGTTCTCTCTCTCTGACAAATACATCAGATCTTTAAAAAAAAAATTAGGGATATTTACTGATGCTGGGTTGATCATTGTTTTTAGAGCTTTTTGGTGAACAGAGCTAAGGAAGAAATGTGGTAGATAACACACTTCAAGGGTCATACTGATACTTCCAATTTAAATTTAGAACTGAGGGGGTTGGCTTAAGGCATTCTACCTTATATCTGTTTCCTCCTTTTTCTATACCATGAATCCTGCTTTTCAAAGACACAATGAATAAAGAGTATCTTATAATGACTCATTTACTTTGTGCCATGTTACACACCAAAATGACTCATAATAAGAGTATCAACTCCATCACCAAAATAATTACTGAAAAAGTTTTAAATTTTTTATGTTTTTCCCATCTCTTTCTGTTTTTAAGTTGTACTTTGCCTACATTGTCAGAGTATATAACATAACCACAGTCTTTCTCATATCCTTTGTAAAACCTTAGTTCTACATGTAAATATATATTTAATTTACATTGTCGGTCTTATTGATGTCTCTCCAGCTGTTCTGTAGATATCTCATTCTGTAGTGCATCCTAAGGAAGGGACTCATGGGTATTATAGTTCCTGATTTCTTACCTGTCGATGAGAGATTAATCTGCTGTCTTAATGCTTAAAAGTCACTTTGACAGGATATAAAATCTTGGCTCACATTTGCTTTTCTTTGAGCAACTTAAATACATTACTCCATTTCCCTTTGGCTTTAGAGATTACTGGGACAAAGTCAATTGGACATCTGATTTTATTTCCTTTGCAAGTCATGTGTTCTTTTTATCTAGGTTACCCAACGACTTTTTTTTTTCCTTCAAATCTCATTATTTTTACTAAAATATGTCTTAGTGTTGGTCATTCTGGGTCAGTTTTTCCAGATGCGTAGTATGCTCTTTCAATTTGTGATTTTTTTAAAGAAGAATGTATTGATTATACTTGTTAATATTTACTGTTTGCTTGCTTTAGTGTTCTTTGGATCCTATTCACGTTAGATTTTCTTTGCTTATTTTTATATTTGTCACTTTCTCTTAAATCCTATTGTCACTCCATTTCTTTTATTATCTGCTGTGTTTATTCATGCCTCTGTTCCTTTTAGTTTAGTCTTCATTTCTGAAATGATGTGTTCTTTGATTCCTAATTTTTTTCTGTCTCCTATCACCTCATTTCTGAGTTGTTCTCATTCTCCTTTATGCTCTTTCACTTATTGTATCATATTTAAAATGTCTTCTAGCACCTTTGGAAGTATCAGCTCATAGTAATTATTTGTTTGGAGGTGTTGTTACTGTTTGTGATTTGTAGCTGTTTTTGATTTGGAAAAGAAATGACCATATTTTATAAGGATATTTTTGTAGTGTTCTTTTTCCTAATGAAGTGGCTCTTTATTTCACCTTGCCACAGTCTGTTGGTCTCATAATTTGGCTTTTGGGAAGATCCTTTTATTGTCACAAATAGGAATTCCATATTAGTAGTTCTGCCAAAATGTACCAACTCTAGATAAAGAGGGCTTTTCTTCTTTTTTTTAAAGATGTTGTTTATTAGAGATGTGCACATAAGCATGGGGAGGGGCATAGGGAGAGAGATAAGAAGGCTCCCTAGGCACAGTCCTATCATGTGATAGAGTAAATATACTTAATATTTCAGTATTTCCTATATTTTTTAAAAACCGAAAATCCGCTGAGTGGGGAGCCCAACACGGGGCTCGATCCCAGGACCAGGCTCGATCCCAGGACCAGGCTCGATCATGACCCAAGCCAAAGTCAGATGCTTTTTTTTTCCTCCTAATTAAATTTTGTTAAATAACATATAATGTATGATTTGTTTCAGGGGTACAGATCTGTGATTCAACACTCTTACACAATTCACAGCACTCACCATAGCACATACCCTCCCCAATGTCCATCACCCAGCCACCCCATCCCTCCCACCCCCCTCCACTCCAGCAACCCTCAAGTTTTTTTCCTGAGATTAAGAGTCTTTTATGGTTTGTCTCCGTCTCTGGTTTCATCTTGTTTCATTTTTCCCTCCCTTCCCCTATGATCCTCTGTCTTGTTTCTCAAATTCCTCATATCAGTGAGATCATATGATGCTTGTCTTTCTCTGATTGATGAAGTCAAGATGCTTAACTGACTGAGCCACCCAGGCACCCCAAAGGGGGCTTATCTTCTGATTTGTTTCCCTGACTTAATTTTAGTAAGTGAATATACAATGTTACTTCTAGATAAATAGTATTTGGTAGCAGATTCATGGGTATTTGAAGAAAATACTTGTAAAATAAAGCCTTTTCAATACTGTTTGAAGAAAAGATTCTTACAAGAGGTTGATAATTTTAGAAATGTGAAGTGAATGCCAGTATGATGTTAAAATATAGGTTATCATGCTTTAGAAACGACAAATTCACTTTTATGAACATAGCTGTTTATGGCTTTTTTTTTACTATAAGTAATAGGAACATTTTACAAACCTTTTATAAAATGTCAATCTTACTAAAATACATTGAGCATCAAATATAGTGCAATTGTTCATAGATTTGGGTACTTGAAAAAAATATAGCATGTGTGTGTGTGGTTTGTCTTCCTTTCCCAGCTTTTTAGGGTTTCATAATGTCTAGGAACTAATATCTACATATTCTTAAATTTAGGTTAAATGTGCACAGTACTGGCCAACAAAAGATGATCGAGAGATGCTGTTTAAAGAAACAGGATTCAGTGTGAAGTTCTTGTCAGAAGATGTGAAGTCATATTATACAGTACATCTACTGCAGTTAGAAAATATCAATGTAAGACTTTTCATGCCTAAAAGATTGGACTTTATATATTGCTGATTTTCAGAATTATTTTTTGTCATTAGATTTGAAGTTTGGGGCTGCATATACATTTCGATAGTATCGATAATAGTATGTAGTCATAAGCATGGTGTTTACTTTGTGTTTCCTACATGCGGTAGCTCTCTGAGGACTCTTGAGAAAACCTAGAAACTAAGGATTTTAAAGTTCAGGATTGAAGATAATTTATTAAGATTACTTGGGGATGAAGAGAGAGAGAGCTTTATAATCAGGCTAACCTGAATTCGAATCCCAGCTCTGTTGTTTAGTAGAAATATCCTTGGGACCTGTCCTCAATGTCCCTCATCCTTTCCTCGTCTGGAAAGCAGAGATTGTGATAGCTCCCTTTCAGGGCTGTTGTGGAGATCAAATGAAGATGTGTGCGCAGAGCAGCTGATGTAGAATAGGTGCCCAGTCAACATGGCAGCACTTTGTACTGCTGAGAGTGGTAGGCCAGTCAAGAAAATAACTTACCGGAATGTTGTTAATTCAGATGATTCACCACAGAGAAATTTGTCCTTACTGAATTGGGGAAAATGGTGAAATAAATTTAGCATATGGTCCCAAGAACATTCGTTTGGATCTTTTCCAGAAATACAAGAATTGTTCCTTATTTCTTGGTTGAGATACATGTACATGGAGGATTTGTGAACCTGCTATTTTCAAGTTGGGGATCAAGACATTTCTCCCCTTTTCACCACCTACCTGTTTTACCTTCTTTGTGTTGTAATCAGGATAACTGGAAAATATGAAATGAGAGTGATTCTGGGATGCTCTTAGGAGCTAGGAAAACTAGAAAATAGGAAAATATTTGTCTGCCAAAAAATGATTTCAGGAATGTATCTAGTCTGTATAGTGAGATACTGTTTTAGTTAACCATTAACTGAATGAAATTATTAACATGGGATCATTGACCCTAATAAGTTTTATAGAGAAGGGATATATAAAGTGCATACACACACACACTTTTAGATATGAAGAAATACATTTTAAGGTTGATCTCTTGAAACGCCTGTTTTTTGCTGCCTACTGTAAGCACAGGTGCATACTGTTGAGGGCCCAGGCCCAGCTTCGCATGACATCCGTAATTAAGTTTTTATGTGATCTCTTAGGTTATCTGAGAAGTCTAAAGGTTGGGAATTACATGACTTAGATTTATTTATAAATTTCCCTTATTTGTAGTTTCTTGAACCAACTATTCGATTTACATATGTCTTAAGCTGCCCTGAGATACATCAACAGCTGTTTGGTACTAGATTGTGCAGTACTTATTCCCAGAAACAGAACTGCTTTTCTATAAACTTCTCATGGTTCTTCGAATCATCTTCTCTTGATATTTATTCCAGGTACCTCATCTGCTTCTGGCCTAAAAACTGATTTGAATGGAGAAAGACATAGGTGTTTTTCCCTGTTTTCTGAAACCTATCCTATCTAATTAAGAGTTAATTATACCTTAATAATAAAATAAAATGCGTTTTGTATTTTATCATTTTGCAAAGCACTTTTACATATAATTTGACCCACAGTCTTCCTATAATGTGATAAATATTCTTAATATTTCAGTATTTCCTATATTTTTTAAAAACCGAAAATCCATTAAGGTTATAAGATTTTTCCTGTAAATAGATTACTCAGCTAATAAGTGACAGGCCAGAACTCAAATCCTGATCTCCTGACTTGGAATGACATGGGGCTAATAAGTCTTTTGAAAAAAGTGCTAATTGTCCTAGTAAAGGAAGATTCTTGGTTCTAAAGCATCTTTGAGTTGAAGTATGTGAACTGGCCAACCACTGTTTCAGTTGCTAGCAACTGTGTGATTTCTTATTGGCCTGGGTTCAGAGTCCACCATAATTAATAGCAACAATATGTTTACATTCTACCTTACAATCCTTAGTAAGAACTAGGAATGTTAGAAGAACAAAGTAGCATTTCAGCATGAGAAGCAGAATTGTATTTGGTTAAGTATTTACAGTCTGGATCCAGATTGCCTGAGTTTAAATCCCAACTGTACGCCTCCTGGTTGTGTGACTGGTCCCACTATTTACACTCTGTGCCTCAGTTACTCATCTACAGAATGAAGATTAAGGACACATGTACTTCAGAGGGTTGCTGTAAGGATCAAGTGAATTAATGCTGTAACAGGCCTAAGACTCCATGTAGGATTCCCAGTTAGTAGCTTTAGTTGTGTGCATCTGTTTCCTTTGTCATATCAATGAATTGGGAAGGACTGCAGAAAGAACAAGTTGAGGGAGAAAGAAATACCAAAAGAGTGAGAAAGGTGATGCTGCAGGTAAGGAGTGGTCACCAACCTCACCCTGAGCTGCAGAGAACCAGTTTGCTGCTAAAGGAGTCTGACTTGTCTGTAGTAAGAGGTCTGGGGCCCAAGCTGTGGTCTGTGTGGGCCTGCTCTTTTACAGACCTCTGGTCTAAGGGAGCAGTAAAGCTGCACACCAGCTGCCCTTTCCAGTGTCTTCAGTAGAGCTAAGAGTTTGAACTTTTGCCCCTGAATGAAGAAATTCCATCTCTGCTTTTAAAGCAGCCCCGTGGCTTAAGCTAAGGGGAAGGTTTTGTAGGGCTTTTAAAACATAAGGTCATCTAGAGTGCTTGTCTTTCAGGATTTTCTTTTTAGTTGCCCTTCACTATTTTCCATAATATTGTTGGCCAGCTTTATGTTTATCAAGTTCCAGGAATACTATTGTAATGCTGGCTGCCTTCTGTTTCTCTGTCCCTGTAGATTTGCCCAAAACAGGATGAGTGCCTAATTATTATCATGTTCAGCTGGGATTTGATTCAAAATAGTTTAAACAGTTTATCCTACCTGGAGTGTCATCCTCTCTTCTCTGCCTGTTTATATCCTGCACATCCTTCAGGACCACCTTGTGACCCATTTCTTACTTTGGTCTTTCTTAATTCATCTATGACGCATTCATTCCTAATAGCTGTAATCTTACACTTCTCTCCATAATTTAAATTTTCCATTTTACTGGCTTATTTAGTACTTGTGTATGTATGTACTTTGACTCCCATAACAAGGTTTTCGGCTCCCCATGGGTAGAGAGTCCTTACCTGTTACCTTTGTGCTTCCTTCTGCCATTGTACCGAGTGAGTGGTTATTCTAAAATACAGGCGTAGGGGTGCCTGGGTGGCTCAGTCGTTAAGTGTCTGTCTTCTGCTCAGGTCATGATCCCAGAGTCCTGGGGTCAAGCCCGGGATCGAGCCCCGCATCGGGCTCCCTGCTTGGCGGGAAGCCTGCTTCTCCCTCTCCCACTCCCCCTGCTTGTGTTCCCTCTCTCGCTGTGTCTCTCTCTGTCAAATAAATAAATAAAAATCTTAAAAAAAATAAATTAATTAAAATAAAATACAGGCATAATCCTTCCACCTTGCTCTAAAAAATCTTTCTGTTGCTTATGCAGAAGTCCAAGACCCAGCCTGGACTGGTCCTTCCTTCTTGTCTAAGTACTCAGTTTGTTCTTGCTAACAGTCCTACACTTCTCAAATAGGTTGATTCTTGGAGGCCCACACCTCTGTATTGCTTTCTCACTGCTTAGAATGCAAGCCCCATGCCTACCTGTTCTGTCACTCTCCTCTCCTGATCTGGTGAGGTCTGTTCATCTTTCAAAATGAATTACAGTAACTAAATATTTAACACAGACCATATAATGATCCTGGCAGAAATTGAGGAGGGACTGAACTAAGGCACTTTACAGATCTCATATAAGTTTGTATTTAGGAGATAGGCTTCACAAACTTTGCTACTTCTTTGTGTAGAGGAAATACTAAGTTGAAGCAGTTGAAAATGTGAAGAAGTTTACAATTGCTTGGAGCTTACTAGGGGCTACAATAGCGTCAGTATATAATTGTTTCCGAAAAGGTATCTAAGTATTTACCATATGCAGGCATGGGTTAGGCACTTTACATTCACTGTTTCTTTTATTCCTCACAATAGCCTTATAAGGTAAGTACTGTTTTTAACCATTTACAGATAATAAAATTGGGCTTATGATGAAAGTCTTGGAAATACAATCTTGGTACTTCTGTAGATGCCCAAAGTGTGAAAATAATTGGGCCTAGGACCAAAGAGCTGCATAGATTTCTTTGTAATAATTAGAAAATTTATAATCTTATCTGTCTGTATAAAATAAGTTAACTTGATTTTGAATGGCTTTAGGTGGCATGCACTTAAATTGCCATAAGCCTGACTGTTGCCCATGGTCTTATACCTACTCAGTTCCTAGCTTATCTTCCTGGCCTCCATATATAATGAATTAGATATCCTTATTCAAGGGTAGAATTCTCCTTCAAAATATGTAAATAAGATTTTGCCTTAAAAAGAAGAGTGAACCACTGACATCTTGTGCAGAGTGTGGTATACATAATGCAGTGTTTTACAAAGAAGATTTGTCAGGGACAGCCATGTAATTGCAGATGCAACCGGTGTGCATGGGGTGAGAGGGGTTGGAGAGGCCAACTGGGCATCACAGGAGGACTAATGTGACTTGATGACCTGGGAGAAGGAGAGGGGGCTTCCACCAGTTTTGAAATAAGAAGTTTGTCAAAAATTGTAAAGTCTACACGTAGAGCTTGTTTGGAATAAAGATGAATTTTGTTTTAGCTCTCCAGCCTTTGGCAATCCTTTTTTCCCTCATGTTTTTTCCTCACAAAAAAGAGGGAGAAGAGGCCCAGTCAAGCATATAAACATTTCTTTTCTATCTCAGTCCGAAACATACAGATCTTACTGCTTCATGAAGTGGTCCGTTGGGAATTGTATGAATTTTTTTTTTTTTTTTTTTTTTTTTGGTGAGCTGTGATTTTGAATCTTGTTTCAGTAGGGACACATTAATAAAAGTTCTTAAGTTCTTTAGTCTGGTCCTGTTAGGGGAAGAAAAAGACTGATTCTCAAAAATCTATTAGTGGGGAAGACTGCATTATACAAACAGTCGTGAACATTTCTGGGAACTGGCTTTGAGTATCCCAGACAGCGTGACCTGAATTTGAAAAAAATCAAGAGACTTCTAGTCTTGAGCCAAAATCATACAAGCGAAAAAAAAGCAAGCAGTTGCTCAGGATTGTGGGTTAACTCTAGGTTTTAAGCCAGGAGGTGATGCAGTAAATGGGCATAAGTGAGTATACAACCTTATGGGAAGACTGGGCCAGGCCCTGCAGAGCACAGCTTGCAGGTGATTTGGGTTCTGGCACCACCCCTCCCAGACCTGGGAGCTCCAGCAGGTCCACACAGGACCTGGTTTAGGCTCGCATGACAAAGCCTGGCCCTGCTATGCGAGGTCAGCACTGCATGGTGGCAGATGACCACAGCACAGCGGTTGTCAGGGTTGGGAAAAGGGTAAACACTCCCACTGGAATCTTAGACCCTATTTAAAGGAAGGTGTGACTCCATGCCCCTGGGCTACGGCAGGAACAGCCACTTTAGCCCATTCCTGTGCTGGTATTGTGTTGTTACCTGTTCATTTATGGTTTTGTAAGAAGAAACTAAAGTTTAGGCTTCTTAATTTGAAATGTTTTCAATGCCTTTTTTTAATACAGTAAATTTAACCCCCCCCTTTTTTTACATACAGTAAGCTACAATTTTGAAAGGAAATGTTTTGAAATTTAGGAATCCCAGTGATCATTTCAATTAGTAATAGATTTATATTTTCTAGTACCTTCAGTATATTGAGAACCTATGGATCAGAGTGTATTTGGAATTATGAAAGCAAATTTTAAGAAAATTAGTCACTAAAAGTAGGTAATTTGAAATTTTTTAAAAGAATTTCTGCACTGTATTTTATCAGTGTTATACCTCATATAACAAGTCTGGGACTTAGGAGTCTTAATTTTTGCTGAAAAAGGGGGAAAATTTATTTTTAAAAAAAGTTAATTTTGAAAACTTGTACCAAAAGGATGCTGTAATAATAATTTTTAGCTTTTAACCATTAAAATTATCATGGTGTTTTTTTTCCTAATGTTGCTTGTATGGCTTCTCCCTCCAGAAACATCCTACAATGAAACTGAGAAATTGTGCCGATATATGTTAGAGGGTTACTGCTTTGGTTTACAAAAATGAGGACTAGAAGGCACCAAAGTGCTTCTTGGGGCAAAAGGCAGCTGGCAAAAGCTTAGGAACATTTTCATAATGAGTTAGTCAGAAATAAAGCTCATCAGGAATATCCAGGAAGTGACAGTGAATGCCAGGCAGGCTTTAAGAGACAGGAAGCATTTAGCATATTGGTAAACCATTTTAGCACATCAGCAAAGTCATATAAACATTTTTAGGATTGGAAATTATTACCACGGGGAAAAGCAGCAATTAGAAGAGCAATTTCAATTAAAAATGTAAAGATTGTGTTTTTAAATTAATTCTTGAGTTGCTCCTCTGAGCCTGTGTAGCAGAATCTACAAGATAACTCATCTGATGAGAAAAATTATATCTAAAAATGTTGGGTGTTCTTAAAAAGGAAACCATTAAAGAATGTAAAATTATACTGGTAGGATTTTTTTTTTTAATAGGAAAAAAAAGGGCACCTGGGTGGCTCAGTTGTTCAGCGTCTGCCTTCGGCTCAGGTCATGGTCCCAGGGTCCTGGGATGGAGGCCCTTATCGAACTCCCTGCTCAGCGGGGGGCCTGCTTCTCCCTCTCCCACTCCCCCTGCTTGTGTTCCGTCTCTCTGACAAAAAATAAAAAAAATATTTTAAAAATAAATAAATAGGAAAAACAAAAGGAACACTCATCATGATGTATGAATTAAAATATTGGCAACATGTATGGTGTAGGTCGGTGGTTAAGGGCCCAGACTGCTGCTTCAAATTCAGGCTCTGCTATTGTCTCAAAGTGTCACCTAGGGTAAATTACTTAACCTCTGGCCTCTGTTATCTCATCTGGAAAAGGAGTTTTATTAGGATTGTTGTATGGGTTGAGTTAATACATAAAAAACTTAGGACATGCCTGCAAAATAATGTTTTAGAAATGTTAGCTATTATTAAATAAATTCCAAATTCTCCTGAAGAACTCCAAACTTGTGTGAGTGATTATCAAAAACCAAATAAAAAATCATGGTACAGAAGTCCATAAGGATTAAAAGCATTAACACAAAACACACATTCTTTCTGAAGTAGGGTTTTCAAAGAAAAGAAATTAGAACTAACTTTTCCCTTGATTTTCACTTTTTAGAGTGGTGAAACCAGAACAATATCTCACTTTCATTATACTACCTGGCCAGATTTTGGAGTCCCTGAATCACCAGCTTCATTTCTCAATTTCTTATTTAAAGTGAGAGAGTCTGGTTCCTTGAATCCTGAACACGGGCCTGCAGTGATCCACTGTAGTGCGGGCATTGGGCGGTCAGGCACCTTTTCTCTAGTAGATACCTGTCTTGTTCTGGTAAGTGCTTCTTATGATCTAATTTTAGTCTTGTTTAATTTTTTATTGTTTTCCCCTGGCAGAAGTAAGCTCTAATGTCAGTATCCCAGAACTGTGATTTTCAAACTTCTGCCTTCTTCAGAAAAACCTAAAAAATTTCACTTATACCCTTTTAACTGCCTCTTATTTGTGAGTGGTGGGGCTCTGTCCAAGATGATTCTAGACATCTCCAAGAAGACTTTTTTTTCCCCCTCGTAGCTTTATTTTACAGAAATAATAGGTCTTCCCCCTTCCTTGTTTTTCAGATATAAATTGATATATAATATTGAATTCCTTCCAACTCAAACCAGCACTACATTTCTCTTGCCCTTAGTTTCCTTATTTACAAACTAAGGATAATGATACTATGTTCCTCACAAGAATTAAGTGAATTAATACATTTAGAACACTTAGAAGAGTCTCTGGTATTTTCTAAGCACTCAGTAAATGTTAGTATTATTATTCCCTTGAAATTCCAATCTCTGCCCCCAAGGGCTGTATTCTTTCTTCACCAACCCATTCCCAGCCCCAGCCTGGATACAGGCCTGTGCCTTTTCTTTTTAGAATGTCCATTTTTCCTTAGTTGGGGCATAGGGCATCTCTAGAGTATAGGAATGGTCGAGTCTTAATATACCTACTGTATTACTTTACTACTCTGCCTGTAAGTAATATACTTCAGTCAAAAACTGGATTGTTACAGGGCACCTGGATGGCTTAGTCAGTAGAGCATGCAACTCTTGATCTTGGAGTCATGAGTTGAAGCCCCATGTCAGGCATAGAGCATACTTAATTTAAAATTAAAATTAAAATTAAAACTGGGTTGGGGCACCTGAGTGGCTCAGTCAGTTAGGCATCTGACTCTTGGTTTTGGCTCAGGTCATGATCTTGGTCGTGCGCTCAGTGCAGAGTCTGCTTGAGATTCTCTCCCTCTCTTTCTGCCCCTTCTGCCCTACACTCACACACTCTCTCTCTCTCTCTCTCTATCTCTCTCAAATAAATAAAATCTTAAAACCGATTGTTACATTAAAGTGAACTTTGACATGTTTAAAAAAATTCTGTTCACTTAATGGTGAATGACTATTAAAAACTGGGTTGTGTGTTTGTGCCTATTCCCTGCCAGACATAACTTCCACTTTTTTCTTTTTCAGTTGGGGTGAGGGTTGTGCTGGTTATAATACGAGATCGATAGTCTGGAGCTGGTGCAGTGACTTAACCGTGTCATTGTGAATCTAAGCTCTTACTGTTTTTCTTCTCCACCATCTTTAGATGGCTGCTGGGCACAGACATGAAGGCAGAAGGGCACTGGGCAAAAAAGATCTACTTCTGTTAAGACCTTTTAAAAAAAAGCAGAACACTAATCTCAGTGGATTTATCTTTATATTAAGCCAGAACTGGTCATAAATTCTTCCTTAGACAAATACTGGCCAAAGTAAATAAGATTATTATGATTGGTTTGGAATCAGTTGCATATCAGTTAAAGGCCTCCATCTACTGCTTGAGCAGTTGAGGTGTGCGGAAGGTGGTGGATTGGGGTAGCTGTTTTGTACAGAAAGAGTTACAGCAGTGGTAACTTCTGGTTCTTGGGGGAGACGCTGCACATTGCACAGTGCTGAGCAGCCAGCTATCCTGTATTGCTTCTCTTTCCTGGACTCTTAACAACAAAAGGCTTGAATAATTTTTACCTTTCTTGCAGATGGAAAAAGGAGATGATATTAACATTAAACAACTGTTACTGAATATGAGGAAATATCGAATGGGACTTATTCAGACACCAGATCAACTCAGATTTTCATATATGACTATAATAGAAGGAGGAAAATTTATAAAGGGAGATTCAAATATACAGGTAAACTTTTTTAGGGAAATAATACCTGTGTATTATATATGATTAGCATCAAATAACTGCTGCACTCCATTGAAGCACTTGTTTTCTCCCTTCCTTCCAAAAAGCATATTTACATTCATGTGGAGAACCCAGCTGGCCATCTTAAAATTGTAACGTTTAAGCTCACATCCTCATATATACCTCAGCCTCATGTTAAATCTTGCCTGTTACTCAAAAGCCCTAGTGGGAACAAAATTTTATTAAAGAAAGTGGAATTTTCATATAAGGAGGTTAGTTTAAGCATTTAAGCATTAAAATAAACCAAAGAATTTTGGTAATTTTAGCACATTAAAAACTTGACCTGCAATTATAGAATAATTAGTTTATGTAATAGATGCTTAATTTTGTTAACAGTGAGCAACTCCAGTACGGCAGACATATGAAATTCCAGTAGAAAGTTCTGTTTCTCTGATTTCTGGCTATGCTCTCATGAAGACATTTTTGTTCCACATTTGCAAAAACTAAGTTCAAAGACTGATTATCAGAAATCTGTGTTATGTACTAACAGACCCCTATTTCTTGTCTGATCTGGTCACATAGTATTGGACATAAGTAGATCAAAACTCTTTATATTTCTCTTATGAACACATATACTGGTTCCTTAATTTCTGTGATTACGAGGCAAGTCAGAAATACACTGAATAAGCCTTTTATAACTCAGACCATCTGTGATAATGGAATTAAATATAAGTTACACTTTCAAAGACATTAAAATATTCTTAAGCAGTTCTGTTTCTCAGCTGTTGTTCTGATCTTTAGTATTATTGTAACTATTCAAAACAAACTGTTATCAGTAAAATTTAAAGTCTTATAATCTTGCCATTGGCAACAAGATGGATGGAGCTAGAGAGTATAATGCTAGACAAAATAAGTCAGAGAAAGACAAATACCATATGACTTCATTCATATGCGGAATTTAAGAAACAAAACAAAGCAAAGGGGAAAAAATAGGCAAACCAAGAAGCAAGAATAAATCTTTAATGAAGAGAAACATTGCATCAGTCCATAAAATACTCAGTATTTCGATTAGGCCCATAAAACATGCACCCTTCTTCAGAAGTCAGACTTTGGGAACACTGGGTTTGCTTGGCAGTGAACCAGTGATTTCAGAAGAAGTAAAAGTTATCTCAAATGTTTAAGATTAGGAAAAGGTCTCTCTCTTTCTCTTTTTTAATCTCTGTGAACTTCTCTTCAGTTTGGAGTTGAAAAACTCCAATCTGGAGTTGGAAAAAAAGTTAAATAGTTAAACCAAACTTTTTTCACACACTTGTAGCTTCCCTAGTTGTTCATTGCTTATTTCCTGGACGTTCTTATGTACTAATTGTAGAGAAAGTTTGCTGTCTTTTGGATAGTATCCTTCCCTCCACTTTAAAATTTTTTCAAGTTTCCTTAGTTTCAGAATATATATTCCCTTACTTTGAGGATCTTTTTCACTACAGAGATGAATTTTATGAACATACTTTTTTGTGGTCTTTATTATTATAGCAGTATAGTTTGTGGCTTGGGAGAGTTTTTTTCTGTCTCAGTTTATCTGGTAGGTTATAGCCATCAGAGTTTCCATGTAGCTTCATCCAACACTCCATGCAAACCCAAGACATTCTCTGCCCCTTCTTCAGGTAGGATGTTGGAAATGTCTCTGTATTTTTCAGGTATTCAGGATCAGAAAAGCCTGTTATCCGTTTGGAGGGGTCAGTTTCCACGGAAATGGTCTAAGCGTTCCTATAATTTCTGTGGTGCTGTACTTTTTTTTTATTATAAAGATAATTAATGAGTATATGGATTTGTTTATTTTACATAGGTAGTTTTCTCTGCATGGAACTTTGCTATCCAATACTGTAGCCATTAACCATACATGTAATTGAGTACTTGAAATTAGGCTATTCTGAATCAAGATCTGTTTGAAGTATAAAATACACACCAGATTTCGAAGATTAAATACAGGGAGATAAAGTATAAAATATCTCAATAATTTTTAAAGTATTGTATGTTCAAATGACAATATTTTTTATATTGAGTTAAATAAAAGATATTGTTAAAATTCATCTTTTTTTTTTAAACACAACTACTAGACATTTGGAAATTGCATATGTGGCTCCCATTGTATTTCACCGGACAGTACTATTCTAGAACCTTAGCTTAAAATAAAAATCTAAGAGAAGTTCTCTGAAATCCTAAATCATAAGATCTAAAGTTAATGTAGAAACCTCAAACTGCATGAATATAACTGACCTATACAAGTATCTCTTTTGACATACAAGGATAGGGTAGCCAATTTATAAAAAGACTCTTCTTTCTCTCCATATGTCTACCTCCTCCTCTTTACCTAGGAATTTTGGGAAAAATTACTATTTGTAAAGAAGAAAGAAGGAAGCTTCTTTCTGGTGTGAGCACTGTGGCCAGGGGTGTGGGAGGGTGATATCACACTTCCTGAACCTGTGTATCTTCAGAGAACTGTCTGGTCAGCAGCACCCGAGCCGTATTTCTTTGTTTCTGGTACTTTTTGCTAAAGGGGACATCTGTCTTCACCTTCAGTCTTAATTTGGATTTATATTATGTGAGAGGTATTTTCATTATTGGATAGTTTATTTTTCTGTGAAGATTTCTGACATATAGAGATATAAAATGATTTAGAACCTGTCAGGATAAAGGAGAGCTGTTAATACATCTAAAGCGATTGTTTCTGAAATCGGTAAAGACACGTATGTTTATAATCATACATCATGTATTTAGTTTTGGAAATTTCCAATGATCTTGACCTACCTAGATAAATACAGATAATTTCTAGTTGTCTCTGAGAATATATCATTTACCTCAAATCTTTCTTGGCACAAGGGCATAAAAAGATGTTATAGTTACTGGTATTATCACGTAACAGCACACTCCCAGTACCCATGATCACAGAAAACCTCACAGAGTAACATATCTAGATTGGCAATTCAGAACTGATGTTGTAAGATCTCTACCTGGTAATTTGACACTACTAATAAAGTAATTACAGTGGGTTTCAAGTTTAATGACATCACTTTTAAGTGCTCCTTCAAGGGACTTTCTTCAGTGAGAAATGGGTGAGGTTGCAGGTGGTGTGCAGGGAGTGGCTCGTAGCAGCGTGTGATATGCGGACTGTGGTTCAGCATGTGTGTAGATTTAGAAAGATAAACTCTTGGTCCAGATGGCTGTACTCCAGGCCTCCAGATGAGAGCTTGAATGAAGTTGTAGCTGAGTGTGGTATTGATTCCTTCGCTTCCCCAGTCAGCAGTGACAAGCCAAGGCAGGTGACTTTGCCTGTTTACTTGTGGGTTACAGGGAAGGCAAAGTTGAGTGAGTTTGCTGCCCAGAGATGTGGCAAAATGACACTGCCTTTTTTTTTTTTTTTTAAGTCACTAGCGTTAAATATCTCCTTTTCTCCACTCCCTTACCCCTTTTGTGCTGAGTCCTTTTCTTGTTGACAGATTCTGAATTTGTTGCATATTCTGGGAAGTGGTCCAGTAAGATGTGATTTTTGTCATTGTCTTTTGTTTATTGACATTGTTGAGTTTTGTCCAAGTATAAGCCAAGTTGTTATAACTAGGTCCCCAGGGAAGAATCAAAATTTTTAAAAAAATCAAACAACCTAAATTCTGGAGACAATTTAACAGTTTTTATTGGGTACTTTCTTTAAACTATCTGGTATCTGAAATTGATGAGCTTTTCAGAGGTAGAAATAATCATGAAGGATTATAGCATTAAAATTTTGGCCCTTTTGTTAATTAGCTGCATAGCCTGGTCAAGTTGCTTCTGTTCTGTAGAGGGGGGATGATGATAGTAACAGTAGTAGCACCTACCTCCTGAGGTTCTTCTGAGGATTTAAGAGCTGGTGCAGCTGAAGCATTAAGTCAGTGTGGGTATAGTAAGTACTTGAGAAGTTTCCCCATGTACATCTTCAATGTACAAAACGTTGTCTGGACTGAGTAACAAAAATGTTGAATGGGAAGAAGGAAAACTGACATAGTCCTCTAAAGTGAAAACATCTTACTCTTATATTCCATTATAGCATTTTCTCAAGTATTGGCAAAATACTCTTTCTGGATATGGTTTGCATCCTCTTAGGTCCGTGCTCAGGAGAAGTGGGTTCCATCCAGTTGTTTCTTAAAATAAGTTCAGAGACTTCTTTCCTTGAGGTCCACTTCCTTTCTGGCTTCATCTCTGAGTCAAGCTCTACATGTTCATCATCTAGTCAGATTGATCAAACTGTCCTACTCACTGTCCTCCAAATGTAGCAAATTACAGAATTTTGCATTCTCTAAATTTTTTGTGAATCAACTACATTAAAAAAAGATACATTAATTATGCCTCTTAGTAAAATAGCTATATATGGGAAAGGAGGAGTGTGGTAAAATGCCTTTTTCTTTTTTAATTCCTCTGTTGTAGGATAATGAAATAAGTTAGAAACTAATTTATCAGCGTATCAATGAATTTTCCAAAGATTTTTTTTTTAATAATATACAAGCATTGTTTTTAACAATGCCATTTTGTACCAAAGCAACTCCAGGGAAAGAATGTTTCATTAAGTTCCAGACAAGTGTAAATTGCAGGGTTACATTTGTGTTCAAAATCATTACAATCCTCAGGCAATAAGTTATAGAGTTTCTTATTCATTAGGTTCTAGACTCCTTGCTTCTGTGGTAAGATCTTCAAAGAGGGCAACCCCTGTCCGTACCAGGTCACTTTGCACCAGTGTGGATAATCAAAACCATTGGCTCTCACTGCCACCTTTACCTACTCTTGTTATTGGCTGGGAGATGGATGGTTGTGTTTGCAGCCCTTGAAGAACTTGAGCTAGAGGTCCCTCATGCTGAGGTTATACTTGCCTTCTCCCTCTCTGGCTAGTACTTTGTCACTGCCTTCATCTTCCAGGGGCTCAGATACACTTTGCACCTCTTCCTCTCTCCCTAGGGATGGTGGCAGTGAGGGCAACGGAATCTAACATTTGCCAGATATGATGCTAGGCTTGTTATGTCATTAATCACAATAGGCTCTCAAGGTAGGTGATGACAGCCTGTTTCCTAGAGGAAGGAAATGGAATTTCTCTTTGTCTTGGTCTAAATCCTGCCTCCTGAAGTCTAGGCATGCTAGCAGAGTTTTTTCTAACCTGGTGGTGGGCTGGCTTACCTGGAACTGCTAGCATAGCTGGTAGGAAAAAAACAAAGTAAGGTCCTCTGACATCAGAGAGACCTGCCTGGAGATCTCACTGTTGTTCCTCTCTGTTAGACCAGTCTGGTCTAACAGAGAGGAACAACAGAACACATTCAAGTGCCATCTTGGTCACTGTGGGTTAGGAGTCCAGCAGAATCTGGCTCTGGCTAAAATCTCATTTACTATGACTAATATTTTGGTGAGGTCCTAGTATACTTTGTCTCAATAGGTTAAATTCCACTTTAATTTCATTAAGATTATTATATTCAACTGCCTAGAGATGTATATACATATTAAATACTTTGTTTTTAAATTTTAAGCTTAAAAGAGGCACATCTAGAAGAGGTTTCTGTAAAATACCTTTTTCATTCTTCCAATTAGCATCACAGGGTTCTCTTAAAGTTGAATATATAATTTCAATTTGTATATCCTTTTTATTTAAAGAAAAGTAAAATTTTAGTGTTTGCATTTGTTTTTCACTTCTCTTCCCTACTTAGAAACGGTGGAAAGAACTTTCTAAGGAAGACTTATGCCCTGCTTTTGATCATTCACCAACCAAAATAATGACTGAAAAATACAATGGTAATAGGATAGGCCTAGAAGAAGAAAAACTGACAGGTGACAGATATACAGGACTATCCTCTAAAATGCAGGATACTACGGAAGAGAACAGCGAAAGGTAAGCTTATGGCAATTACATGCTTGAAAAGATGAGACTTTTTTATTTTAATAAGTTCAGTGGATATGAACTCATATAGGCCCTTTGTTCATTGAATTAATGTAGCTATTCATTTATTATCTAAAAGTATTGAAGTATTGTATGATGACATCATTGATCTCAAAGAGCTTTCAGCTCTATTAAGAAGCCAGTACTTATAGACTGAAACCAGTTGGAAAATGGTTTAACGCAATTCTAATTTGAGTGGTAAAGTTAATATAATTAGATGCTAAAACATATAGTATGATACAGAAAATAAGTGGTATGAATACCTGCCATTTGTACAGGTATTAGTGTTCATGCTATAGTAATATAATGGATAATGTGCCTTTAATGAAATTGTGAAATATTTAAATGAATATTTAAATTTAATTACATTATTGGAAGGGAAGAAGTCTTTTTCAAAAAAAAAAGATTACACAAAATACCTTTTATACTTTTCGACTTTTGAATCTATATGAAAGTATAAACGTTTTAAGTTTTTAAATTAAAACATTTACATTTCTAAGGCTCTAGTTATCTCCCACCCGTTAGGAAGCTGGTATCCTGAGGTGTGAGTGAATGAGCGTGTTCACATCCCCTTTTCACGTCTCAGTGATGTTTTCTTTCTTTTTGTCAAAATACACTTTTTATTTAAATGGCACATTTTATGTTTTAGTCCTATTTGTTACATTGGGATGTTAGGGGAACCAAGAAAATCGTTGAGGTCTCCTATATATTATAGTAACTTCACTTCTCTATTTCCCCAATATAAAAATTGCCTGGGTAGCTCAGTCGGTTGAGCGTTTGCCTTTGGCTCAGGTCGTGATCCCGGGGTCCTGGGATCAAGCCCTGCATCGGGCTCCTTGCTGAGCGGGGAGCCTGCTTCTACCCCTGCTTCTGTGCTCTCTCTCTCTCTTTCACTCTCACTCTCTGACAAATAAATAAATAAAATCTTTAAAAAAAAATTACTTGAAATCTTATGAAAGGTAACATTGGAATAAATACATAGTCTATGTGTTATAATATATTTGTACTGAAGAGTTTATTATGACTTAGCAGTGTTACTCCTTATTTATGGCTCTAGTGGTTTGAGACTACAAGTTAAAGCATTAATTTGCTTATTCCTTCTTCCACCTTAAATATAATACTTTGAAATGAAGAAATCATGTTTTAAATTACCTTATATTTTTCAGTAATAAGATTCTCAGATACCTAATGTTCTTGTAGTTTTGGCTACTATTCAGAGGTGTTGAGTTTTATTCTTTAAGGACACAGACCCAACAAGGCGCAAACCACTCATTGTCCAAATTTCAGTTTCAAGGAAATGAGCAAAACCGCTCAAGTTACAGAGTGATTGCAGAAGTTGTTTTATTGGGGCCCCCCCCGAGCCCGCCCCAAGGAGAGAGGAGACCAGATCCTGCTTGAAAGCAGAGGCAAAGCCCCAGTAGGAAAGTAAGGATTGTAAGCAGAGAGAACTAATGGAGGGAGCAGGTTGTAGAAAAGTAAAAGAGCATAAAATAAAGATTGCTGTGTGAAAAAGTGTATTGTTCAGGCCTAATTTTAATACTGATCAATACCTTTGCATTAGGGAGGCTAATAAAATAAAATTTTATTGAAAGAATTTCAGCTTAAAAGGGAGTAGGGCACAATATTTTCTTTCATTATTAAATATCCTTCAAGTCAGTTTTTTCATATTGGTCACATTCTCAGTCATGAAATCAATTTAGTAAGTTATAAAAAAAAGCATTTTTAAAATAATAGAATACAATAAAATAGAAATTAGAGTTTAGAGAAAAAATAGATCAGAGTACACAGATAAAAATTATTTTAACATATATATACATAATATATAAATTCTGTGTATTGACATATACTTTGTGTACATGTACAAATATGTCTGTGTGTGCAGTTACTTTGTTGTGATGGTAAGACATTTCTTGCTGTCAAGGTTTACCATCAAAGTTTAAAAGCCAGTGTTCTCAATTGTAGTGCAATTCTTAAACCCAAATCACTGAGTGGAGAACAGTTTGGATAAATAAATCAGGTTATTTGGATCCTCCTCCTGTGTGTTTGCATAGTATGAGGTATGCCAGTTGAAACATGTATCAGCTGTAGCCTGCTGTGTGTGCCATGGGGAGGACTTCCATATGGTCTTCCATAGGCAAGGGTCCATAGGAGTCCTTCTCTGCCTATTTGTGGCTTTTGATTACATGGATGTAATTTCCTTAGGCCCAACTAGGTTAAAAAAGATTTTATTGTATCACAAATTGAGAATAGTTTTTACTTTGGAATTGCATTCTTAAACTAAGTAATTACATCTCTTGGTACTTGTTTTCTTTCCATTCCTGAAAACATCTGTATAGTACATTTTTGGAAAGCAAGCGCCTCTATTCCCTTAATGATTTTATTTATTTTTTATTTTTTTTCCATTAACAATTTTAAATGGGGAAAATTGTGTTCTCAGTTCTCATAACCAGTTTCTCTAAATATAAAAATCCACTTTAAAAAATCCTCTTAAACTGCTATGTAATATTTAAAGCACTAATTACATAATCACATAACACTCGGTATACTCATATTGGGTTTACATGATAAATATCAACACTGAATAAAAATTTTAATTATCTTCTATATTGCAGTGAAAATTTTAAATGAATCTGTTAAAGATGCCATCTAAATTAGAACCTGATTGTTTGATGGCTTCAGGCTCCTGACAGAAGCAAATACAAGGACCCGTGGAAGGCTGGGCCCTTGGATGGGAGCTCTGTATTCTTTTACATATTTTATATATGCTTTGCCTGCACTTGAATACAACTTAAATTTTTTTCACTGATGGGTACACATGTATTTGTTAATAGTGATTTTTAAATTCAAAAAGTGATTTCTGAGTAATAATTTTTGCAAGTCATTATAGTGAATATTCAGAGAATTCAGACAGTCAAAGATACTTGGGTATATGATTAAGTGAAGAAGACATTGGAAATCATAGGGCACACAGAGATAGGCAAAACAAAGTCCCTGAGTTGCGAATATATTTAGGGGGTAAAATAACCCAAATTAGCAACATAAATTATTTACTGTAAATTAAATGCTGTAAGATAAGAACAGAGGGGCCCTAGGGGTTGAGTAGAGGGAGAAATTGAAGAACAATTGAAATGAGAGAACCAGAGAGCTTTCTAGTTTAGAGGGGAACAAATTTGGAGAATAGCAAAAAACCATTTGGGCAAGAACAAAGTTGTGCACAGTAGGCGAACACTGGATAGTTTTTGTGTGAACATGTGTTTTCAGTTCTCTTGAGTATATACCTAGGAGTGCAGTTGCTGGGACGTAAGGGAACCCTACATTCCATATTTTGAGGACCTGCCAGTTTTAATAGTGGCTGCATCGTTGTATATTCCCACCAGCAGTGTCTGAGGTTCCAGTAGTCCAAAGAAGTTGAACATTGATAAAATTACCTAATATATAGTCTACTCAAATTTCTTTGGTTGTATAAAAAAATCTACCTTATAGCTTTTTTAAAAAATAACTTTGAGATACAATTTATGTACTATAAGGTTCACACATTTAAAGCATACACTTCAGTGAATTTAGTATATTTACAGAGTTGTGAAGCCATCACCATAATCTAATTTCAGAATATTTTCATGATCCCAGTCTCTTTAGCTATTTAAAGAAATAATCCAAGGTCTACTCAAGGATCATACGTCGTATTTAGTTGATGTGATTCTTTAGTCTCCGTTAATCTGAAATTGTTCATCACTTTCTTCTTTTTCCTTGCCTTGACCTTGACATTTTTGCAGCTGCTATACCAGTTGCCTTTCCTCTGATGGTTTCTCATTACTAGATTCAGGTTAAACATTTTGGCTGGCAGAAAAGTAGGCTCTTAATGTGTAGTATACTGAAAAGGCATTCAAGATTTTTAATCAAGCTACAAAACCAGAGAAGTATACTTTAGAAAAATTGCTAGGGTGATAATGTTTAATTCAGAGGCAAAAGTTAGGTTTTTGCTATAATATAGGCAATAAGTAAAAAGAGTAGATGGGGGGCGGAGCAAGATGGCGGAGGAGTAGGAGACCTAGATTTCGTCTGATCTCAGGAATTCAGCTGAATAGGGATCAAACCATTCTGAACACCTATGAACTCAACAGGAGATCGAAGAGGAGAGTAGCAACAACTCTCTGAACAGAGAAGCGACCACTTACTGGAAGTCTCCTCTGGACAAAATGACAAGACGAAAAAAATCACCTCAGCAAAAAGAACAAGAGGTAGTACCGTCAGCCAGGGACCTACTCAATAAGGACATTAGTACGATGTCGGACCTAGAGTTCAGAATCATGACTTTAAAGATACTAGCTGGGCTTTAAAACAGTGTGGAAGTTATTAGAGAAACCCTTTCTGAAGAAATAAAAGAACTAAAATAAAACCAAGTCGAAATCAAAAAGGCTATTGATGAGGTGCAATCAAAAATGGGGGCACTAACTGCTAGGATAAATGAGGCAGAAGAGAGAATCGGCGATATAGAAGACCAAATGATGGAAAATAAAGAGGCTGAGAAAAAGAAAAACAACTACAGGATCATGAGGGCAGAATTCCAGAGATAAGCAATATGATAAGACAAAACAACATTAGAATAATTGGGATCCCAGAAGAAGAAGAAAGAGAGGGGCAGAAGGTATATTGGAGCAAATAATAGCAAAGAACTTCCCTAATGTGAGGAAGGAAACAGGCATCAAAATCCAGGAGGCACAGAGAACCCCTCTCAAAATCAATAAAAATAGGTCAACACTCTGACATCTAATAGTAAAACTTACGAGTCTCAGAGACAAAGAGAAAATCCTGAAAGCAGCTCGGGAGAAGAGATATGTAACCTACAATGGTAGAAACCTTAGATGGGCAACAGACCTGTCCACAGAGACCTGGCAGGCCAGAAAGGACTGGCAAGATATCTTCAGAGCACTAAACGAGAAAAATATGCAGCC